CCCCAAAACCCCAAAACCCCAAAACCCCAAAACCCCAAAACCCCATGTTCACTAATAATAATTGACGCTCGGACCCCAACAAAAATGAAGAACATGAGTCCTGAACATTTCGTTCTGTTGGTGGAGACGGAGCCAGAGGGACCAGTGAGCGATTAGAAGTGTTATGACTGAATTAAGACTCTTCTTTGTTTAACCATCTGATTCTTTTGCCATCTTTCCACTCTCCCTTTTTCTCTTCTCCTTTGGAGGTGGTATAGATTCCGATTCCGTGTTGTTTACCTAGGTGCCACTCTCCGACGTACTTTCTGCCGTCTGGCCAGGTGAAGGTGCCGTGTCCCTGCTTCTTGTCGTCTTTGTACTCACCTTCATATTGTCTTCCATCTTTCCAGGTGAAAGTTCCACTTCCATGCATTTTATTATTTGCCCATTGTCCATCATACTTCCTTCCATCGGCCCACTCGTAGGTTCCTTCTCCATGGATGTTATTATCGCAGAATTGGCCAGTGTACTTAGACTTGTCTGCCCAGAAGAAAGTTCCTGCTCCATCTTTCTTTCCGTCCTGGTACTCTCCTTCGTACTTGGCTCCATCTGGCCAAGTCTCGATTCCATGTCCATGCTGTTTATCTTCTTGCCACTCTCCGTCGTATTTAGCGCCGTCGGTATGTCTGTAGACTCCTTTGCCATGAGCCTTGTCGTCTAGCCACTCTCCTTCGTAGACATCTCCATCAGCATGGATGAGTCTGCCTTGGCCATTGGCTTTGTCGTCGTTCCAGTATCCTTCGTACATGGAGCCGTCTGCCCAGACCTGGATTCCCTTGCCTTGTCTGGTATTTTTCTCTTTGTTCCACTGGCCGACATACTTGGCTCCGGAGTCGAGAGTGACGAGAGGTCTATCTTCGAGGCCAGACTGGACGGCCTGGTTGTAATGGAAATCTCCGTGCTCTCTCCTGATCTGCTTGACCTTATCATTGGCGTAATTAGTAATGTCTTCTTGCCTTGTCTCTTCTTTAAATGTAGTTGGTTGAGGTTTTGGGTTATTATCAACAGCTATATAAGAAGGATTTATTTTCGAACAATCTTCAATCTTTCTTTTAAAATTTTGCCATAAAATTTATCGAAAATCTTCATAATTCTTGGATAAACTGAGGAGACTGATAAACTTACTTCCTGCAACATTTGTTGGCTTCTTCTTTTCTTGATTTTTTCTGCTGATGTCTATATTTCCTTTGTCTTCGTCAGTTGAGCAACAAGAACCCATCTTTTAATCTTTTTTTAAATTTATTTATTAAGGAACTTTGATACTTTCAGGTCAATTGGTTTCTCTTCATTTGGGGTTTTGGGGTTTTGGGGTTTTGGGGTTTTGGGGTTTTGGGGTTTTGGGG